TTTTATAATTTTTTTCGTCACAAACTAATGCAAGAAAATATTTTTTTGATAAAAAAGAGAGAATTTATCTTATTTTTTATTTTTCAAACTGAGTATATAATTTTAAATGACATGAGAACAATTCCTGAACAAGTGGGTTTCCAGACATCAATTTTAAATCTTTACAAGTTCTGTGAAATGGTGTTTATGTCCACTCTATCTGTTTACATATACCTACATATTACCTATTGCGATTGAAAAAACAAAAATAATAAAAATTCTCAGACATTCTATTAATGTCAAAAAATAAATTTTTTTTTACGCATTACAGTTTAAATCTTTTAGCATTTTGGTAAACAAGTATTTGCTTTTAGATTGAACAACTGAAATTTAAACAAAAACTTGTTTCTACCAAATAAACTTAAAAAACTGTCCGTAAAATTAAATAAGACACACAACATCAGCTTGGCACAGTGCAACGGTTACGTACAGATTTGGTGGAAAAAAGTAGAATTTCTACAAGAAGCTTAGTGAAAAAGAAGAGTTAAAAAGTTTTTTTGAGGCAAGAAAGATCAGTTTAGCGTTCATTTAATTAGCACTGTCAGTGCAGTTACGAATTCTCGTCCAACGTTCGATTAAGGTGTTCTTCAAGACTGCTTCTGCAATAAAAAAGATAACGCTTGTAACGATCTCAAAAAAAGCCGATTTTGATTTTTAGCGAAAGAATGTTTATTGATTGCAAGTACTACGCAATATCCTAACACTAAAAATACAATAGTCATTGCTCGAGGTTTTTCTAAATTAATCTCTTTAACAATTATTTTCAAGCTAAATAACTTTTTAAAACTATCAAACTGAACAGAAGCAAATCGTTACTTGAAATTGAAATTGAAACAAAATTGAAAAGAATTTAAAAGTCTCTAAGACTTTTAGTATTAACATTAAAACATCCTTTATTTGATTTGCTCAAATTCTGCTACGATCAGTAACCTGTTGACAGATTTTTAGATTACGTTAACGACAATAAGTTGATGCTGCACAGATAACAAATGAAACTGCTATTCTTAAACTTACTGGTGAGAATGATTATTCAGGGTTTCGTGAAATATTTGATCCGAATAGAAAGCTGTTGGCAGATACTAGAGCTGCTGCTTTTCTTCATTAGATTTTTACCTATTTACTTTTACCAGAAATAGACTGACTGCAAGAACCATTTTGTAATCTTTATTCATTATAGTAAAATTTTAGAAGTTAAAAGAAACATAAACCAAGAGTCGTTATCCTGTTGTGACAGGCCATTGTAATTAAGATTTGAGTCGGTAAGAAGTAAGCAAAATAAAAGTCTTTATAACATCAGTAATTTCAGTAGTTTGGTAATTAAAGCGATTGATTTACTTTTTTTAAATTAATATGCAGAACACGTCATAAATTTATTTATTCTTTATTTATTCAAGTATTTAAACATTTTATTTCGTTTATTCAGCAGTTCGTCTCTATTGTTTCGTTAAAAATAATTTTTGAAATAGTAGTTTATCAAACAACTATTTGAGCAATTTTCAAATTTATCTAAATATGATTGATTAAATTGCTAAACCCGGAAAACACAGAAGGAACTCGAATAAGTCACAACGTCGAACAGTATTTGATAAAAAAAAAGAGTGAATTTTAGTTAGTGCAGCACATTTGTAATTTGACTTTTCTCTTTTTTTGACGACCTTCGTTTCAGACTAATTTTACTTTCTTTTTAGTTCAAAAATATGCTTCTTCATGATTCTATACATCAGAACAAATTATTGTTTTTTATTTACTTACACTGAAAAAATACTCAACAAAACTGCTAATAAAACATTTTTAAAATGATTTTTAGTAAAAGCCTAAAAAAATTTTTGCCAAACAATGGTTTCACTGCACTGTTGTGATAGAATTCTAGTTTCTTAAAATATTTGCTTCAGACTGCTCCGAATATTAGTCATAATTTGATAATACAGTTAAAATTTTTTTTTATTTTATAGACTCTAAAAAATTTAGGAATTTCCTATCCTACGTCAACCACCAGTCTGTGGTTTTTTTACTCGTCTTCTATCGGCACTCGGTGTATTCATATCACATTCGAGGTTATCAGCATAGTTTCCCAGATTCTCCTCATCGTCAGAAACCTTTTTCTCATTTCTTTTTTACATGTTTGACTACGAGTCTAAGTGGTCATTTTATATATACACCACCCTAAAAACCAATGTAACTTTCACCCGATCTTAATTCTCTCACCTGACACTTTTCTTATCACGATTTATTGTCCCTGTAATGCTGCTTCGCGCTGAATGTGATTGCTGATAATACAAAAGCAGTAATATCCACAAATTTTCGTCTACTAATTTTGAGTTCTAAATTTTTCTTCTTTCACTGGTTTTTATGTCGCATGATTTAGCAACGAACCAAAATATAGGCGGATTATTATTCGAGCCGGCTACATACAAATAACTGTAAATGTTATTTCAACACTATTGATACAAGAATTTTTTTGTGCGGAATCACAAAACAATAATGATATATCACATAAATTATGCCAATTTTTTCAACTTTTGACAACCTAATTAAATACCTTGCATTTGTCTGTACGAGCAACTATCTTCTGATTCATTGGCATAAGAAAAACTTATGCTGAAGAGCAGATATTTATCAACTACTGACTAAGAAACGTGACGCTTTCTTGTTCTACCAATTTTTCTGCCACGGTACTGTTCTTTAAGGCCTAATGTAAAAGTTTTTTTTGCATCAGTCTACCTGTTCACGGTCGCT